CCCAAAGCTGCACACTCAAAGAGGACAACCATTTCTGATAGAGGATGACCTTTCTTTGGTCAAGAGTATATCAGTAACCACGCTCCCTTGCTAAACCTCTAAACAAGCTCTTGAGGTCCAAAAACTCCAGCAACAGGCCTTGGATTAAGTACCTGGAAATTGTTGTTAAAAGAAGCATGGGGGTAGAGTGCTGCCTTGCATGCACAAGGCCCTGGGTTCAAGCCCGGCACTACCACTAAAAAAAAAAATACACACACACACACACACACATACACATACACATACACACACATACACACACACACATATAAAAGAATCATAGGGGTGCTGGGTTATGGCTCAGTGGTAGAGTGCCTGCCTGGCATGCATGAGGCACTGGGTTTGATCCTTAGCACCACATAAAAAAATAAGTTAATAAAAAATAAAAGTATTGTGTTCATCTACAATTAAAACAGAACAACAAAAAAACCCATAGGGTTGGGGTGTAGAGCACTTTCAGTAGAGCACTTTCTTGCCTTACGTGTGTGAATCCCTGGGCTCTATACCCAGTACTGCATGTGCACAAGCATGCACGTGCGCGCGCGCGCGCACACACACACACACACACACACACACACACGGAAAAAAAGCAGTAGCAGCATTGAAAAAAAATAACAGCACAACAAACTCAAACCGAAACCAAAAACTCCAGGTAGACTAAAGTCTAAAAAATTTAAACTCTTTTTTTTTCCTTTTAAACTAAAAGTTGTATATTTAACTTTACTCAGGATGGGAAAAGACTTTCTAAGCATAAAAACCATGAATTAGAGCTAAAGGAAGGTCAGTGGAGTTGACTCTAAAAACTTTTGAGCTGTTTTGTTAAATAACATAAACACAGTTAAAAGGCAACTAGCAAATAAGAGAAGTATTTGCAAAACCTACAACAGAAGGTAACTGTCTTACTCTCTGTGGTTACAGATCTATAGGAAAAACGTTAACAACTCTAGAGAAGAGTGGACAAACTATATGAATTTGTCACAATGAAGAAATACAAACAGAAAATTAGATATGTGAATAAAATGTTGAACTGAGCTCTAATCAAAGAACCCTGAGCTTGAATGAGCTGTCATTTCTTCCCTAACTTTTTTTCATCTTTGTCAACTGATAATATTCAGCCAGAAGATAGGTACTACCATATTTTCCTGTTGGAGTTATCAGTTATCAGCCTTCTCAAAAGCAATTGGGTAGTATAAATCAGGTGCTAGGGTTTAGACCCATTGGCCCAGTAATTCCATTTTTAAAAATATATCCTAGAAGGGCTGGGGGTGTAGCTCAGGGGTAGAGTGCTTGCTTAGCACATGGAGGCACTGAATTTGATCCTCAGTACCACATAAAAATAAATAAATAAAGGTATTGTGTCCCTCTACAACTACAAAAAAAACATTMTTAAAGAAAGGAATATATCCTAGATACATATTTAGAGATGTTTTGCCCTCAGTCTATTTGCAGTAACCTTATATTCTCTCTCTTTAAAAAATCCTGGTATATTAAAATCTCAGCATCCAACAATGTGTTCTTTACTGCTATATCCTTAGCACTGGCAAAATGCCTTGAATACCCAGATAGACAAAAAGTATTTGTAAGTTCAGAGAAGAAAGACTATATTCAGACCAAGGAATATTATATAGCCATTTTTAAAAAATATTGTATATTTAAAGATGTCAGAAAATGCTCATAAGGGGCTGGGGTTGTGGCTCAGCAGTAGAACGCTCACCTAGTATGTGCGAGGCCCTGGGTTTGATCCTCAGCACCACATAAAAATAAAGATATTAGAAAAATAAACTTATTTAAAAATGTTCAGAATGTGTTAAAAACAGTTTATGATTATATAATAATAGACCATTGTCTGTGTGCTGTGTGAACTCTGGATGATAGGACTTAGGTGATTTTCTCTCTTTTCTTGGGCTTTTCCTGTCATTTGATTCACTGTGATGAGTGTCGTGATTATCTCTTAAAGAGCAAGACCACACAGGTCTTCTTTGAGGGCTTTGTAACAGAGTGAGAACATTGAACAAGGTTATCATTCATGGTAGTGAGATACATTACTTCTAAATCTAGAAAGAGAAACTATGATGAGGATGAGTTTGAAGCAATAATAATAGTAATTTCTAAGACACCCTTAGGACAAGAAAGGCATGACTCTATGAAAAAAATCAAATCTTTTTCTTCTTTTTTTTTAAAAAAAAATGTGAATTACCTTTCAAATGAAAAAGAAAATGCTTAGGTTGCCTATCTGTTGGATGGTTGGTAAGGACATAGCAATCAATAAATGACTGATTTTTCCTATTATATTATTTTTCTAAAGGAAAGGGACTTGGGTGATTCCTTGGTGGGACGGAGGTAGAAGTTGTGTGGAGTCTCCGGCATCCCTTAGAAAAGCACAATTGAGCATTCAKATGAACCAACTGTGGTTAGGGAGTGAGGACATTGATCAGAAAAATATAACATGTGTTTTTTACTTTTTCATCTATTGTTTCAAGTGTGTGGAAAACCAACATCATCAACAAACCCACCCCTGTGGATTGTCACCCTAGCAGCTTCTTTTAGCTAGTATCAAGGATGGAAAATCTTTATCTTTAGCGGTGTTTTGGGGGTGTGTTTTGAAGAAAGTCCTTAGTAAATCAGAAGGGTCACAGACATGTGGAAGCTGCTTAACCACCATGCTTGATGACTGTGAATGCGCTCCTCCAAACGGCCCAACCCGCTTCCTCTGTTGCTTATCCATTTCCCAGCTGAGCCTCATACGCAGCCACTCGAGGGCCGCTACCTGAGCGCCCCTGGCCTTTCACCTGGAGGCAGTCTCCACGCATCCCGGTTAAGTTACAGGGCGGTATGGCTGTCTGTGACATTGGTCTCTTCCCTCGTCTTCTCTCCTGTCCATCTCCTGCAAATTAGGAATGTGCTTTCCAAGCCATGGGTGTTGGAAGGAATAAATAGCAAGCAGCAAAGGGTGCCATCTCTCGCAGTCATGCCCGTCTCCTTCCGGGACTGAAGCAGGCGGCTCATCCCCATGGGCTTTTCGGTGTGGCTGGCAGCTGTGTTGAATGTAATGTGTTTAAAGCCAACCTGAGGCTTTCTCTTGAAAAATTCTGATCTAGGGACCACTGAGTGGAGTGTGACTCTGTGGAGTGTCATCTTCCGGCAGTGCTAATGGTTCCCTCTTGCATTTGGAATCTCTTTCACTTGCCTGGTGCTTTCCAGGTGGACTTACAGTGCTTGGCTCTTCTGGCCCATGGCTCTCAGCACCCACTCCTTCCCAGAAATGTTTTTGATGTTCTGAGATCTTCACCTCAGAATCGTCTCATGCTGGGCTGGGGATGTGGCTCAAGCGGTAGCACGCTCGCCTGGCATGCATACAAACAAAGATGTTGTGTCCGCCGAAAACTAAAAAAATAAATATTAAAATTCTCTCTCTCTCTCTTTAAAAAAAGAATTGTCTCATGCTGCAGTTATTTTCTGTGCTTCATTTCACTTTCCCATTTTAGTGTTAATTTATTGCTTCCATCCGMATTGCACTCCCTGGTCACGCAGAGGGTAGAGGGAGTCCTGCTTTTAGCTCAGTTAACTTGGGTCTGTTAACTGCCTGTACAGACTAAATTAAGGAGCCTTGAACCCTCTAATCTCATGGACAACGCAGTTCCTTCTGATATCTTTCTCCAGTAATACATTCATCTCCTCTGGCATATTTTTTTCAGAGAGCCAGCTCTGACCATCTGAGATACAGCTGGGCTGCCCAAGGACAGGGTCACCTTCCCACTGCTCTCTGGTTGGCCAAGTGGTCAGAGGAAAATGTTTTGGTACTTTCTTATTCCTGGAAAAGTAAAAATGGCAGACAATTAAAATCAATCATTAAACCCAAAAGTTATTTCAAACATTGCTTATGTCTTCCGTTTATAAAAATTATGACTATCCTTGACGAAGTCACTGCCAAGGATTGAGCCCTGGAACTTAGACTGTTTATGCAAGTTCATTATTGTTTTGATTTTGATTTTCCTAGGGAAAATCATTGTAAACAGTTAAGTTCTCAGATGCACTCCTACAATAATAAACATAAACACGCTATAGCACTGAAAAGAATCCCACAGTTACCCAAGTGTAACCCGAGTGAAGCCTATGAATGGATGGCTCTGGACATGCTCTTGATGCTGCAAGCAAAGAAGTTGTTTAATGCACTCCTCTGTCAGCTGTGGAGGAGGAGGGACACCACCTGCTGATTGCTTTGCAGGCTGTGCAGTGAAGCCTCATGACTGTGTTGGACATAAATTGATTTGGGGCTCTCCAAGAGGAAGGGGAAGTGTACTTTGAAGGCATTTGTGCCCGAAATATTCAGGAATTGCGATCTATTCTCAAAGGCTCAAGCAGCCAGGCTTCATGCGGTCAAGGCAGATCTCTCTTCTTGGAGAAAATTTTGCAGTTGTCTGTTTTCAAAAGAGGAACGTATCTCCACAACAGCAGAGTACAGTGATGTGAGAAGGGCYGTGGTGACTCTAACATAGGTACCGATTAATGAATTATCATAAATCAGAAAAAGGTGAAGTAGAACTCAGCACAACAAGTCTTGATTAAGAAGCCATTTTCACCACACAGTGTTGAAATGTAGAGCACTGCTGAAGGCAGAGACAAGGAATTCTTGTATAAGTGACGTTAATTTCCTCCCAAGCCAGAGTGGCTTTTCTGCATTTTGGGTGGTGATGGTCATGGAGCTGGCTTTCATACCATACTTACTGTGAGCTGTTTCTAAGAGGTTTACAGTGTCAGCTGAGGCTCACAGAAGCCCTATGTCAACATCCTCATTTTACAAATGATGAAATCAAGGTACAGAGAGGTGAAATAACTTGCCTAGGGACAAACAGCTTGTCCCACAGTCTGGCTGAGAAGTAGTGGTTTCCATCTCTTGATTGCTGTCTGGTGCCTCTTACTCACTAAGAAAAACATTCAGTGCAGTGAATGCTGTTTTTTAGGAAGAGAATGGAGACTACACGTATGTGGAGAGAGTAAAGATTCCCTTGGATCACGGGACCTTGTTAATCATGGAAGGAGCTACCCAGGCTGATTGGCAGGTGAGGACATGCCAACACTACGGATCCCCCTCCTAGAGGCAGTTTCTTAATTCCCAAGTAAGCATGTGGTGAAAAGCAAATTGCTTTTACAATGAGCAGAGGAAATAAGTTGGCCTCATTTTCAAGGGGTTTTAATACTACTGCCATCAAAGTGGACCTCTGCAGATTTAGTGTCCGGTAGGGCTCTCTTTGACCAGGGCAGAGATCTGTGTCTCTGCTGCCCACTGTAGTAGCCATTAGCCACACGTGACTGTTGACCACTTAAATGATTAGGGTGCTGAACAACTGAATTTTTAAATTAATTTAAATTTAAATAATGCCACCATGTTGGACTGTACAGTTCCACAGCTTAGCCACTACTTTCATGTCAGGTCATTTTTAAGGTGTGCATATTATTGTATGAACACTTAGCATGAGAGTGAAGTCTCATACCTCTCTCTGGCCTTATCCATTTATGTTTTTCTTATGTGATTTGGAAAAATGGCAGGAGTCTGAGAGAAAGAACAACAGTTAGAAGAGATCCTGCTGCAAGGGTGCTGGCATAGTGCGTGGGGTCGGAGACAGATTTGTTTCAGATGGAAAATGTTTTCCACAAACTTCAAAGGGCTTAACACTGTTCTTTGAGACAGGGATAAAATGGAAATATTTCTATATCATCACAAACAAGTTGTAAATCCCTTCGAACTAAAACTGTGTATGTATTTCAGAGAGTTATTTACATTTCCATTTAGCATCGAGTGCCCAAGGAATACCACTCCAGAGAACTCAGAGTCAACCTGACCTTTCGGACAGTTTATCCACACCCTTGAGGGTGCTCCTTGGTGATGGAGGTCCTGGCTAGAAGAGCCTCAGTGAGTCCAGCCACGCCAACGCTGAGCAGCCCTTCCTCCGGAAGAAGCTTGAGAGGCTACTCCAGCTGGTCTCATGATGTGGCTGTTTGGAAGATGGTGGCTTTGCTTCCCAGCTTGGAGTCCTATTAAATGAGAGCCACTAGCAGTTCCTGTTGGTAATATGTCTACTGTGGGAACGGTTATTCCAAAGCACATCTCAAAATTGCACATCATCTTTAGGCAAATTAAAACTGCTGTGGCTGTGCTCACGGATGATTTGGTCCAGAAGCTGCTTTTCTTCTGCCCTCCCCCTGTAATTTGAAGAAATACAAATGGCCTTGTGCCTCTGGGGAGAATCTGCACGTGTTTATTCCTAAAGACATTTGCGAAGTGGAGATACAAATGTACGTCAGTAACTCTGGAGCCTTCCGTAGGCAGACAGCTGCTGAAACCCAAACAGAGGTGGCTTCACTGGGCTTTGTTGAAGTCTGTCTTGGCTCCCTAACATCTCAGCTTGTGTGTTATTGCAGTGGAAAGCTGTGTTTTCAGGGGACACTGTGTTTGACTGAGCCTCGTGGCCTATCAGTCTTCCCAGACCCATTTAGACAGATTCCAGGCCTCCGCACAGAGTGAAGGCAGTGCAGCCAGGCACCAGACTACCTGTAAGACCAGAGGAAACTGTCTCCTTAAGGGAAGGAGTGACTGAGCATGTCTTGAGAAGTAGCAGGCTGAAATTTGGCTGGAGAGAACAAATAGTGACAGCTGTTCCACATAGATTAGCTTCCCCTAGAGAATTACTTGAGTCATTTAAACCCAAGCCAGATCGAAGCGGKAGCAGTCCTGCAGGGAATAGACTCAATTACCTCATGGTTCTTTTCACCTTAGATTTCAGTAGTCCCATGACTGTGACTCAGTGTTCCCTTACACCCAAGTTCCCCAGGTTCAAGGGTTAGTCTGTGATGTCACCAGGGTTCCCAAAACAGAACAGAGTGACTGCCCCTTTTTGCATCATAAAAGCACGTGTCTCCTTGATCTCTGGCCCTAGGATCAGTGTGCCACATTAACTCCAAACAAGATGTGGAGCTGAGAGAAAGACAGTCAGTTTAAATGGWTGAAAATAGGGCAGGGGAGTCGTGTTTCTCTCTCGGCCTGTGGGAAAATTCACAGCGTCTTCTTGCTTCTTGTCCTCTTTCCTGCGGTAAGATCAGTGATCCTGTGATCATGGTGAGGTGCCAGAATGGGCATGCTCTTACCCAGAGCTCGGGTGTGACTCCATGTCTGGCTGGGCTCTGCTCTCCACCGCTCTCTAGCTCCTTGCCCTGGAGTATTTTTTTTTTTTTTAATGTTTATAGCTCCTTTTTGTAAGAAATACTAAGTGCTTCACACAATTGAACATCGTACTGTGCCTTCCTGGGAGGAAGGTACAAATCACTGTAAACATAAAATAAACCCTCTATTTAATTCCTAGCTGTTCTCCTATTAAACCCAACAAAACTGCCTGGGGTGGTACAGCCAGTTTTGGTTATGCGTTTGATTCGTGACACTGGGAAATTCCTCTCCCATTCTTTACAAATGAAAGAACTGGCAGATGGTTCCAAGCTTCTATCATCCCCCCTCCTAATGTAGGGTCGCTGTGTYCTCTTGCATGGGCTCTGCATTTGATCCCTTCACTTACCCATGTCTGTCAGGGAGACAGATTCCCCTCTCTGGCAGATGTGCTGGGCTACCACCTGTTTTCTCCATCAGCAGCAGATCTTACCTTTGGTTTCTTGCTGTCACTATAGACTAAATGTGCCATGACTACCATTAATTTCCACCCCTGAGATAGCATCTCTTCTGTAATGTCAAATTAGTTTTTGCTATAGAATAAAACTGCCAAGTTTAGAAATGGACAGGAATCCCAGACCCTGACAAAGGACAGCCCTACTCAGTGACGCACCAACCTGTTGCAGTGTTCCACTGATAGATCTCATGCCATAACTCGGGTCAAGCTAATTTTGCTAATGTTACACATAAAGCAGAGGAAGCAAGTATGACAGCCATAGCATAAAGAAAACAGGTTTCGGAGGTGTTTTTAGGCCCCACCCCYACCCTCTTAGCACCAGCAGCCTGTAGGCACTGCCTAGGAGCTTTGATACATAATCCCTGATCCTCGAGGCCCCTACCGCTGCAAGAGAGGTACCATTCCCCTTGTAGAGATGAGGGAACGCAAAGTTAGTCTAACAGAACTTTCTGTTAACCTGTATGCTGTGTGCTCTGCCTTACTGGATTGAGGAAGAACTGTCAATAAGCATCCCTGAGAGCCTTATTCTAGCAGAGATGGCCACAACCAACCAAAGGCCATGTATTTGTTCCCTGTTTGTTTATTTATTTATTTGGCATAGATGAGCCTTTAATTTATTCATTTGTTTATATGCGATGCTGAGAATTGAACCCAGTGCCTCACATGTGCTAGGCCAGCACTCTACCACTGAGCCACAACCCCAGCCCCTGCATCTTATCTCTTCTTAATCAATATTAGCATCTCTGAGTCGGAAACTGTGCTTCTAGGGCTGGGGCTGGGGCTGAGTGTGTGAGGCACTGGGTTTGATTCTCAGCATCTCATAAAAATAAATAAAATAAAGGTCTATCAACAACTAAAAAATATTTTAAAAAAAGAAAAAGAAACTGTGCTTCTAATACTGGACCAGCAATTGGCCATTTAACAGAAGCTCTTTGATGGGGGGACAGAATCCAATTGCTGGATTTAGATAAATGCTTACTAATCTTCCTGACCATACCAAGCAGATACAGCTTGAAACTTCCCAGGCAGGTGAAGTTTTCCTCTTTGATCCCTTCTTCCCTCATTCTCTGTGTGTACCTTTAGGGACCCTGCACCGATGCCTAAGCTCAGCGTGAGGCTTCTTTACAATATTTACCAACATCACCCTCCTAGGCAGCAGACAGCGCAAAGAAACTGGTCAGGCTCCACACTAGGAATGTCTTATTGCCTCCTGTGACACTTAGCAACAGATTGTGTCCTCAGTAGRGAAATCAGGTTCTACTTTGATCCATGTTGACAAAACCTCTAGCTTACTTGGTGATTCCTAATAAGTTTAGGTCACAGCTCATGGGAACCTGCAGTTTCCTTGCGGCAGTAGCTCCCGACTGCCTCCCTGGCTGCCRGGCCCCTGCCCCTGTGACAACAGTTCTGGCTGAACCTGGTCAGGAACTGGCACTACCTTCTGGGCAAGCCATGGCAGAGGGAGTTAAGTAGGCCCTGCCATGAACAGAATGCTCCCACTGGAGGGTTTCAGAGAAATCCCTGACAAATGATGGGTTCCTGCCCTGCTGGGAATATTTCTTCCTTGAGTTCTGGCAGCTTTTTCTTGGCTGCAGAATATCTAAGACCCACTTTGCCTTTTCTGGTCATAAACACTTGTAGTGTTGAATCTGAAGTCTTGATTACTTTATTTTTCTTAACGGTGCCTTTGAAAAATCTGAATGTTTCCATAGTGATGCATTCTGTTTAAATCTTAACTTATACATCATTCCACCCACACTTTCCCCTCCTAGGGACTAGTTTACAACTGCCCCTTTCCCTCTGCCTCCCGTTTTCTTCTTGGAAGAAGCCCCCAAGTGAGACCCCTGTCAAATCTGTGCTGCTGGAATCCATTCTTAGATATGATTCTTGCGTCTGGGGGTCAATAAGGAAATGACTTTAATGTTTATTTATTGGAGTGGAGCACAGACAGATGGCGCTTCTTCCAGCTGGTTTAGTAGTCACACACCTGGGTGTTATAAAAGCTGTCCCCAGCCTGAAAGGAGAGCCCATGTCAGGTTGGGCTATTTGTTAGTGTAAACGCTGGGGGCAGGCCAGTGGCAGAGAACAGGCAGGGGTAAAGGAGGCAGTCCTTTTGTAGTGGCACTACTGAAAAGAGTTTTGTCAAATGAGCCCACACAGCTGTCAGAGGTTTGTATTTATGACATCATTGTGARGATGATTTCAATGCTGTCACTCCCCCTCCTGGGAATTATGATGTCACACTCAGCACAGGGACAGTCCCTATTCTCACATGGCCTTCAGGAGTATGGATGTGTCATTGCTTAGGCAGGACCCTGGCTGGGACAACATTGACCTGTCTCTGGTCCCAAATTCTGGTGTCTATAGGGAATGGGAGGTGAAGAGAGGTCTGGAAAAGTAGCCCTGCTGTGGGGCCTGCATCCTAACTCAGGTTATCCCCAGTACCAATTTCAAGAGCTGTTTGTCTTTATAAACTCATGAGGAAATAAAGCACCCAGAGGATTTGTTGGATCCTGRGATCTCATGTCTGCGGTGGGCTGCGTGAGTCCTGAGCAGTCTGGCTCAACACTGGTGGGGCCTGGGGCCTCCTGCCCCCAGGGACAGCCAGCAGCAGGGCTGTAGAGGTGGCCAGCACAGAGCAGCCTAGGGCTGAAGGGCTGCGCTTTTTCGGCCCCTCACGGGAAGCAGCCTCAGAGACTCACTGGCCCCCAGCAGGAGGAAGTGGGGGGCTGTGCCAGTGCTGGTGGGCCACATGACTGAGGTGCAATTAGCCGCCCACTGCAGGAAGGGTGTGGGCGAGCACGCAGTGACGAGCCTGCTGCCTGCTGCTAGGCGCTGAGGATCCCCAGCCCGTGGTCCCTGAAGCCCAAGCACAGCCCAGCAGCCTGAGGCTGTATCTTGGCCAAATCRTTCCTGCGGATTGGCGGAAGGCTGCCTGGCCCTTCTAAGAGGCTGCAGCCGGAAGGCACGTCCCAGCCCCTCCCACCCCAGGAGACTGACCCTATGCTCTAATGACCCAGACAGCAGCCTTCTGGGCTTCCCCATCTCATACTGGAATAGTGCAGTAGGATGGTGCAGGAAGGGAATCCACCCCCTCCCAAAGTGATTCTGGGTCCAGGGCTGTACCCTCTCTGCATAAGGGAAGTTTGGGTATTGGCTGGAAGAAGGATGTCCTGGGCTTGCCAGACTATCCCAGGGGTATTCAGACTGCAAAGACCACCCAGGCAGGACTCAGGAAAAGAGCAGAACCCACAGAAGCCTTATGCCCTTTCCTGTGAACACTATATCAAGGGATTGGCCACCAGTTTCTTCCCAGCACTCCCTCTCTCCGACCTTTATCCTTTTTCCCTCTTCACCTGGAGTAGGGGAGGTGGGGATAGCTAGCCTAGAGGTGAAAACCCTGGAGGGGGAGTCTAAATGTAGTTCTCTCACCACCCTCCCAGTCTGTTCAGCTTTGATGTAGGATAAGATGGGCCAGTTTGACTCCCCAAAGCCAGTGAGGGTGCATGTTAGGAAGTGTATACCCATTGAACAGATGAGAACACAGAAGAGTTACCTAGGCAACATCCAGAAAATGAGGCAGCACAGGATAAAGGCCTCTGTCAAGTGTTTCTGCCATGTTCTCAATGCCACTCTGGGAAACCTGGTACAAAGAGGAAACATGGGAAGCAATCTCAGAAGGCCGCAGTGCCTATGGGGCAGCCCTCCAAGAAGTCCTATTGATAGTCTTGCCTACCCTCAGCCAGATGGCTGGCAACATGCCAGGGATCCCTGCCACAGCTTGAGGTAGCAGCATCCTGCTTTATGTGGTGCAAGCTGCACCAAATAGTGAGGGGCATTAGCTGGATGACGTCAGGCAAGACCAGTTCACCTGGGCAAGTGGGGATAAGCCTCGTCTTCCAATCAGTGCTGCTTGCAGATGTAGGATTAGGGGGCTGTGATACCCTCACCACTACTCCCAGCCTCCATATAGGTCAGAAGCCAGAAGGAGCCTCAGCCTGAGTCAGGCAGACCTGGGCTTGCACCTGAGCTCTGTCCTACCTGAGTCAGCTTGGACCAGCCAGTCAGCTTCAAGCCTCAGTTTACTCAGCCATGAGATGAGAGCAGCTTTCGCTTGAGGGTCTGGCGAGGATTGCTATCACGCATGTCACGTGCCTGACAGTAACATGCTTAGTAATATAATTCTTTTAAGTGCAGCACTGCCCATGCCCTGCTCACCCCAAGCTCAACCCTTGTGCTGGGTGGACAGTCCCTCATGGCTGATGGATGGCCCTGCAACGCTGCCTTGTACTTGGCAGGCTCCCCTGGTGCATGTGCCTCTGTTGCAGTCAGCAAGGTTGGGGGCGGGGCAGAGGCTCTCAGGAGGACGGCCAAAATGAAAATGGTGCCCAATGGGGCTGATCCTATTAAGATACAGATGCACTTAACCTCGCCTCGGAAGTTCTTTAGATCCAACCGAAGAGCGCTCCCAGATGCCAAAGTGGTCTCGCACTGATGCTCAGCTTGCTCTTGGCAGGCCGGCCACATGCTCCCCTCAGGTAATTGGTCTCCTAATGCACCATCCCTGGCTGGATTCCAGAATTCCACTGCCTCCTCCCCTTGAGGTCAGTTCTTGACGTCTCCCAGCCYAGCAAGCAGGTCACCAACCAAACAGACTCAGATGCACTCCCACCAGCTGGTCAGTCACTTTTTCTTTTTTTTTTTTTTGGTGCTTGGGACCATTTCTAACTGTACAGAACGCCTTGGCCTGGAAGATTAAATAAGATTGCCTGTCTGGAATGCTGTTCAAGACCAAGGCTTTTATGTCCAGAGATTGTGTTAGATGTGGTGGGGGAGATATAAAAGGAAGACACAATCCCTTCCATTGCAGATAGCAGTAAACCAATGGGGCTTTTATTTTCTTTTGCAAAATTAGTTTTTCTCCTTACACAAAAGGATTGTGGGTTCTTTGCAAAAAGTTAAAAAGATAAAATGAAAAATTGTAATTTCATAAGCCAGAAATGACAAGTTTTCACAGTTTGCAGTATTTTTTCCTACACATTTGTGTACTTAAAAAAGTTACATCACAATTTATAGTCTTGTAACCTTTTTCTTTTTATGTAGGTTGGCAGATGACATTATTTTAAACATCACTTTGAGAGGCTGCATAATGTTGTATGTAGTAGTAGTATTATTTAACCAGTATTGAGATTGTAGTGATGTTGGTTGTTTTTACTATTAGTGACCATTTTGTTTGGAAATTATGAGAGTGGACCACGAGAGGCAGAAAGAGGCACAACTCAAAGTCCACACCCTGGCCTCATTTGGACCTCAATTCAAACAGTGAGAACAGGTGACACTCTACAAAGCTGAAATATGTGCCAGGCACTGGTACGAAGTGCTTTCTGTATATAACACCTGATTTACTAATCCTCAGGCTGAGGACAAGCTGCTGCTTTATCCCCACTTTATCTTTAACTGAGGAAACTGAGGCATGGCCTAGCAGAATGGACGCGTACAGCTGTCCTTTAACAAAAACTCTGACTACATCAGACTGCTTCTCACAACCCAAAAGTGGGCTTTCTGCCCGATCCCACAGGCTGTGCATACTTGAAGGCTTTGGGTGCATAATACTAATGGCTTTCCAGAAAGGGCACTCACTTATT